TTCCCTCTAGTTTTACACTGCTAAATTAGGGACGGCTAGCGCAGATAGCCCTCGTGTAGCTTTGCGCGAAATTCAAAAACAAACCATAACGGTTTTACCAAATAATAGTATTTATTATATTTGCTCAATTTCGGATCATAAAAGTTGTGTGTGTTAACGTTTTAAGTCTGTTTCTAGCAAGAACTTTACACTGTCATACTCATTAGCATGATCTCTCAAATTGTTTTCTCTTGAAAAAAGAAGAGGGGGATCTGATTGAAGTGTTTAAGATTGTAAAAGGAATTGATAGTGTTCATGCATCATCTCTTTTGTACTTAATGGTGAGGATAGTAGAACTAGGAGACATAAACACAAACTTTACCAAGGTAGGAGTCATCTTCAGCTAATACAGTTATATATTTCTAACAGAGTGGTTAGTTCTCTGGAATGGGTTACCTTCGGATGTTGTGGAGGTAGTAAATTTAAGAGAGTTTAATAGAAAGCTTGATAACTATATAAATGATAAGGGCTGACTTAAGATTTTTTGAAGTTTATTTATTTATTAGTTTAGTTTAGAGAACGAGACAACAGAGATGGACCAATAGGTCCCTTGTTGTCCCTAAACATTATATTATGTTTGCACAAAATGTTATTAACGTATTGAATACAAAATTTTAAGTTCTCAGTTGGAATTAGATATTTTACCCTGTTCACTATTTACCATATTACTAAACTTCCATACCGTTATCGATTTATTTGAAGTAAATGTATTTAGGTATACCTCAAACGACAAGTTTTATAACTTTTCTGTTCGAACGTTCTCTGGTGATTGTAATACCTTTGTAAATTGACCGTTTTTCCAGCATTTTCCAAATCTCAATTGAAAATTAAGTACGAAAGAAAACGAACATTTTGCTTGGGGTTATCATGAATTATGAAAACACTATACGTATATTTCTCACAAAAAATCCACCGACAGTATCCAAACTTTATTTTTCTTTTCTTCTTAGGAGTTAATTGTAAAAAAAGATAGTACTTCGCTGTAAAGGAATCAAATCAGTAATAAAAATTCAAAATATTCACATAAAGGGTGATTCATAATTCGTGGAACATTGTCAGAGTATCACGAAAAGTGGAGGATGATATACAGAAGGAAAAGGTCCATGACAAACATTTTGTGACGCACTACATCGTTGTTCAGGTATGTATGGACTGTGTGTCTACACTTTCTCAGGATACGTGCTAAAAATGTTGAAACTTACGCTGGCAGAGTGCCCTGAACTAATTTTGATGTTTGACATAAGTGGACATAACAATTCTACAACAACTACTTGTTTTTCTAGCAACCATCCTGAATTGATGGTACCGGATTAGTGGAAAGTTGTTTTCACATTGGCTTTTTTTTTTTTAATTTCGCGCAAAGCTACACGAGGGCTATTTGCGCTAGCCGTCCTTAATTTAGCAGTGTAAGACTAGAGGGAAGGCAGCTAGTCATCACTACCCACAGCCAACTCTTTTACCAACGAATATTGGGATTGACCGCAACATTATAACGCCCCCACGGCTGAAAGGGCGAGAATGTTTGGTGGGACTGGGAGTCGAACCCGCGATCCTCAGACTGCGAGTCGAGCGCCCTAACCACCTGGCCATTTAACATCGGAGGCGTAAAATTTGACATTTGATCTTATCGAAAAACCTCTTACTTTGGTGGACAAACGGTATGTCACAGTGTGTCTCTGTCATAGACATTTTCTATTATGTCTCATCTTCGACTCATCTAGCGGTTTTCGCGGTACTGATATATATCTTATAAGATTAGCAGAGGTAATTTCTAAATTGCTCGAAAAATAATTTTTTAACTTTTAAGATGGGGGTCGATTTTTGTAGCCTTTCTTTCGCACCAAATAACATTTAAAGTAAAAACCTTACAGTCACCGTAAACTTTAATATCAATTTTCAACTACGTCCCATTATTTTCTAAATCATTTAAGTGCAACTTTAAATACAGATGTAACTCATTAAAACATTTTACTTCAATGAATTCAGTTGAGTGTTTTTTATTTTCATTTCAAAAATAATTATGATAACATTCGTAACAAGGAATTAAAGACATTTAATTTTAACCCTTGATTTGTTTGTTTGTTTAATTTCGCGCAAAGCTACACGAGGGTTATTTGCAATAGCTGTCCTTAATTTAGAAGTCATAGATCACTTCCAACTCTTAGCCTTTTTTTAACCAACGAGAAATGGAATTGACCGTCACATTATAATGCCCTCACAGCTGCAAGGGCGAGCATGTTTTCAGTGAGAGGAGTCGAACCAACGATCCACAGATTGCGAGTCGAGCGCCCCCAATCACCAGGTCATTTCAGACTTTTAACTCTTTAAGCAGTAATGCCAGATATTACGTCTTAATTATGATAACCTATAAAGAAATGGATTTACAAGCTAACACTGCATATATTCATAACATTCACTAAAACACTTTTGAGACACTTACACTACTCTTTGAATGGTTCTGCAATTTCAACCTAAAGATGGGACCATGATAGTATTAGGAACTTACCAACTCGAATAAATATAAATCACTGTTGAATTAATTTCATATAAAGTTCTCCAAATAATGTTGGCGTAAATTAAGTTTAATTGTCTATAAATAGAATTAATATCCTGATCGTAAAACACGTTTTAATTAATTTTATAAGCTATGATATCACAATATGTTGAAGCTTTGGGTAAAATAGCAGGATTAGAAGTTTATATCTTAACATGCAATTAGCTTTGTGGGCATCATTTTGATTCAATCCTTACATAATCCCATTTAACTTGACCCTTGCCCTTGCATAATCCCATTCATTCAGTTTATATTTAAATAGTTTCACCGGAAAAATAATGGAAAGTTTCCCTGTAAAGTACAAACCCATTAGAAACCATAATGAAAGTATACAAGTGATTTCGTTTTAAAATTATACATTTATGTTACAGAAATTACGCTTGAAGCTGTTTATTTAAACTACTGATTGTATACAACAATGATATTAAAGTTTTGAGATCAAGCATAAAATATTTTCAGTATCAATAAATAACAACTAGGATACACAAAAACGAATGTGTGTTCATTCACAATACATAAACATAAACTTAAAATTCACGTCAGTTGAAACTACACTTTAAAGTATGTTGCTGGTTCATTGAGAACGGAAGGTGATAAGAGTTTCTAGATTTATATGTATATCTTATTGATTTATATGTATATCTTATTGATACTTTTCGAATTTAAAACATTATTTCGAACCGTAGATATAATAAAAGATGAACTCCACGAGCTCTTATTTACTCCTTTTTGTTAACGTTTTTTCTGTATCCATTAACCTGAAGAAGACACTTTCAGTCCTAAAAGACTAATATATTGTACAGAATAACTGATGGAATCTTTCTGCAGTGGAGGGATATCTTACATTTTATCCAAAGAAAACGTAAAAATTAATATGGGCTAAAAATAGGAATGCTATCAATATGAAAAACTAGCGTCTTAGTGTTGGAGGAATCTGGATGTATCCGTTGTTTGTTGCAACAAATAATTTTTTCGACATTTTTAATAAACGTTTTCTGCCAGTAGAAGTAAATGCACGGATTAAAACCGGAGTGAAGATATCCAAAAAGAGCTAAAACGTCGTAAGCCTTTTTTTCCGAAGGAGTTGAGGGTGAACTCTCTTCTTTACTCGTATTGAAGATTATTATAAAGAATAAATATGGCATCCATGTAAATAAAAACGCCAAAAAAACAACAACTACTATTTTCCAGGACCTCATTCTTCGGATCATTCTTATTCTTTCTGATCTTTTGTGGAATTTAGCAGTCGGGTCTTGTTCCTTGCTGCTATGGAGTCTATTTATCTGATCCATATCTTGAATTCTTTTAGTATAAGCACTGAAAAAAATGTTAAAGTACAGAACTGTGATGATTGCAAAAGGAGCCAGGAAAAATGCAATAGCCAATAAGAGAAGATATTCCTTCGCCAACATTTCCCTTACACTACATCTAAAAGGAGAAAAATAATTGCTGTTTATTCTTTTCAAAAAATACTGACACAAAAACAAAACAGATTTTCCATTCTTTGTACTATTGTATGCCAAAAATACAAAAATGTAAACTCTTATTTTTTAGTGATACAAAGTAGCTCGTTTTTTTAATTAAAAATTCGACTAAATAGAGGCGCGAATCTTAAATCAATGTTGATTTTTATCAATAGGACCTTACTTGCTCTTAGAGATAATTTCCATCATATAAACACAGGTAAATATTTCAGAGTAATATTAGGTGTTATCAAAATAGATAATTTATTAATAAACGAGACGTAATTCTACGAAACACAAACGATATCCTAAAGTTAGTTTTTATCAACAGATTCCCTTTCAAATCGGTACTGACTCTATTAAACACAGGCTGATATCCTAAAGCTAGGTGTTACCAATATATTACCTTTCAAGTGGGTACTGACTATATTAATCACAGGTTGATATGCTAAAGCTAGGTGTTATCAACAGATTACCTTTCAAATCGGTACTGATTCTATTAAACACAGGCTGATATCCTAAAGCTAGGTGTTACCAATATATTACCTTTAAAGTGGGTACTGACTATATTAATCACAGGTTGATATGCTAAAGCTAGATGTTATCAACAGATTACCTTTCAAATCGGTACTGATTCTATTAAACACAGGCTGATATCCTAAAGCTAGGTGTTACAAATAGATTACCTTTCAAGTGGGTACTGACTCTATTAAACACAGGTTGATATCCTAATGCTAGGTGTTACCAATAGATCACCTTTCAAATGGGTACTGACTATATTAATCACAGGTTGATATCACATAAAGACGTTAATTGTTATCCAGATTAGCTGTTGCCAAATGAATTCAAATTCTACTCAACAGAAGTGAATATCTCAGCGAAGCGTTTTCATGACCTTAACTGACGTTAAAGAAATGACTAAATCAACTAAATAAATATGTTTATTTTAAAGTAGTATTTAGTGTTATCCAGCCCTTACCTGTTGTTAAAGACGCCACTCCACCATCCATACACAGGAGCATAACCGAAAATGATACTTGTCGCCCAGGACAAAATGATGATGGCTATGGTCATTTTTTTAGTCATCCAAATGTAATAGTGAATGCCATACCTGACATAAATGTATCGGTCAACTGCGATTAGCAAAATATTCAACACGGAAGCTAAAATACACGTAGTCCCTGTACTCATTAATACAAGACAGAATTGAATAGTAGGATTTTCAGGAAGGTGAAACACGCTAAACTGAAGGATATGGAAGCCAACCAGTGAATCGGCTATAGCAAGGCTAACAACTGGGTAGAAGCCGGAGAACCGGAGACGGCGACTACTAACAAGAGATCCAATAACAGTAACGTTGCTCAGTATTATAAGACAGCCAACCAGAGTGAAAACAAAACGGAAACTGAAACCACGATAGGTTTCGAACGGATCTGATGGTAGGAGCACTACAGCAGTTGCTACTTCATCCGAAGATACGTTCCTTATGTCTCCTGCCGTTGCTGAAGTTTCGTTCTTGATGTCACTTTCCATAAGAATGTCACTTCTTCGTGCGATGAAACCCCTTTTAGAAAATCATTAGCAAAGAAAATTATACCATGTAGAAATGATGATTTCCACAATCTGAAATACGTTATTTACCTAAAACATATTAATAGACTATTAGTTTACTGAAAGTAATATAAGACCAAACACTTCTTTTTATTGCCAGATTATTTGAAGAAAAACTTTTTACAATATAACTACTTTTTAATGAAGCAATAACTTGATTAAAATTAAAAGACAGTTAACCATAAGTCAGCAAAGACATGTGATACATTACTATTGCTTAGCAATCTTCTTACAAGTACTCTCCCGGAACTTCTGAGAGGGGACTTCACCCCCTTGCAAAGATTGCCTCCCCTTATCAGTAAGCCCTGGATCCGTCACTACTATTCAAACTCCTTTCTTGTGAGTATTTCATCTATAAAGAAATACTACAAACTAATAAAACAGACTGAAAACAAGGACAAAAAGGTCTGACTAAACGATTTGCATCAATACCTAAAACCAAAGTTCGTGTTAATCTACGCGTCATGTCATATTTTAAATAAACAACCTAATATTTCGAATCAATCTTTTTAATGCACAGCGAATTGAGTAATACGTACATATATATACAGATGGAAAGACCAATAAAGTAACATTTACCTTTGCTCTTCCCGTCAGTATTAGTGAATAAATTGTTTTTTGACGCTCAGGCTTTACTGCTTATAAAAGTGTTACTCGACGATTTCCACCACCTAATCACAAAGTGTCTAATCAGTTTTTATTCTTTGCCGTACACGTGATGTCATTAAGTAAACCTTCTAGGGCTTTTCTTATATATAGTCTAATGACCACGTATAATGTAGGACCCTTAAACATCTGTCCCCGTATCAGCTTGATTTCGTAAACAAACAAAACCACAGTTTTCTATTGACGTAATGCACTTAAGCAGTGTAATACATGTTTTATAAGTGAATTGTAGTCTATAAATAAAACTGTTTTAATTATAGTATTTTGAACCTGCTGTAAAAGCTTTGATTACACAATCCTTTTGAAGGCTTAACAATATAAGCTAAATTGCCCTTAAAAAAGTACACACCAGAAAAATTCACGTTAAGCCTCAATTAAGAATGCGCCACCTGTCGTTTGGATTGCTCACAATACTTGAGTTTACATACTGGATGATTTTTATAGCATCGGAAGTCGAGTGTTTCATTTACTTATCAGAAATTTCATTTATCACATGTGACAAGCATATAAAATTGCTCTTTAAGTTGACAGCGGTGTGAAAATTTCACTAACGAGATGATATACAAATGAACACCTGTTCAGCTAGTAAACATCGACCATTTAATAATGGCACAGAACAAGAGAGAATGCAATAGACTATTCCTGTGATGAACATTTGGTGGACATATGCTTTCTACTGTTAAAGGCAAGTACTTCATATAATAAATTATCTTTGAACAAAGATACGCCTGACCTGTTCACTGTAGTATAGCGATCTATATACTTAGCAACCTTTTCCTACTGCTGCATTTATTTAACTTATTTTAAATCATTCAATATCTATAAATATGTACGACTACTGTGATGACAAAAAAAGTAACCTGCTATCTTATATTGTTATTTCTTTATGTTCTATTTACGTCCATTCTTTCTTTTTATGTGCTATTAATGTTCATTCTTTCTTTTTATGTTCTATTAACGTTATCTACGAAAAGAACGTTCATTCTTTCTTTTTATGTTGCTGGGGAAGTTTTTTTTGATCTTATTCTTTTAATCTATTATGAGATATTATTATTGATACATAAATAAATTAGGTTGTTAATAATATAACCCAAATATTACACACCTACAAGCACTTGGGAAGATGCAAAGTCTTACAAAAAGATACATCAGCAAAAATAGAAGCATGTTCTCCAAAACATTGTAACTTAAGTCAACTGAAAAGAAAATTGTGGAAGAGAAACAAAGCCAGTAGAAAGAGGCCAGGTGTAAAGGACAATACACAGGTGAGCACAGCATCAAATTCAATAGAAGCTAGTCTCATAACTTAGTTGTGGGATCATGAAGAAACTGTAGACGATCCTAAGTCACATATACACATAGAGGAAAAAAAAAGTTAAATCACAAACTGAATCTCGTATCTCTGAACTTAACTAGCTTTCTGGTAATTCTGAAGGGAAGAACACTAAGGAGTTTTACCAAGGAATAATCCAACCAAGGCTGACTTCTACACCAAAAACAACTGAAGTGCATTTAAATAAAAAATTTCAGTTTTCCCTCAAGATTTGAAATTCCCAACCATAAGTGGTGACTCTTGTCAGTCTATTACACGAATTGGTAAAATTGATGTTTTCATTTAATATTTGAATTCATTGCGACCAGGGGAGTGGTAATTGATATTGTGATTGATGCTTTTCCTGCTATTGTGTCCAATTCAAATAAATGTAATCAACATTTTGATAATATTTTGCCAGTTTCATGTAATTTTATGCGATGGCTTGAATGTGGACAGAAAACTATGGATTTTCTGAAATGAGCAGAAAACACTTCATTCACTCTGACCTTCTTCTCATCCCAGCTAATGTGAAAGCATGTCACTGGATTTTGTTTGTGATGATTAAAAGAATGAAAACAATAACTTTCTTAGATTCTATGCACGGAGAGCACATACAACTGTTTAATCTAATTTTAAAATTTTTTTCATCCATTCATCAGTCCCATGGGAAATTTCTGATGATGGAAGATTGACAGTTTCTTGCTCTAATTGACATTCCTTGTCAAAAAATTCTTTTGATTGTGGCATTTTTGTTTGTTTCTATGCATGGATCATGTGTACAGGTAGCCACTGTTCTTATGATATATCACAATCACAATCTATTCGAGCCTGGATAGCCTACAAAATTCTAGAAATTTACTCCAAAGATAAACAAGTAAGTTTGTTTCAAATTACTGACACCAGAGAGAGAGAAAGGCTATGAGAATTCCATCAAGAAGATTAAGAATCTCAAGGAAATCCCCAAGTAAAACTGAAGAAACACTTTCATTTATTCCTCTCTTTCGAAAAACTTTTTAAATAATCATTCAAATAGTGCTTGCAAACAATTTCTGTAAACATCCTTCCAAAACAGAAATGGTATCTTGTGAAGGGGAATGTCAAGACTGGTATCACATAGTGTCTTGGAGAGAATTTAAAGAACTGTCTAAAATCTATGTTTGTCCAAAGTATAGAAGTATTTAAATTTACTTTTCGTTTCTCACTATAAAACCTAGAGATATCAGCTAATCTACCATTGGAGGATACTACTTCTACATTCTTGAACTTGGCAGCATTACAGAGTTTTAATGAGCAAATGTAAGTACAAACTTCGACTGATGAAGTTCTCGTGGTATTCATTGATTGATTTCGGCAAAATAGAATTTTTCTCGTGTAATAAAGCGATTACTAGTCTTTCAGGACCTCTGCTGTGATTTGTGACATAAAGACTACTTCAGCCTTCGCTTCTGCAGATGAAGAACTATTGGAGGGAAGGAGAACAAAAAGGTCAGATAAGGATGTGGATGAAAAGGAGGTTACAGTTATAAATGATTCCTTGACAATGCATGTGGATAGGATAGCCTGTGAGGTAAATAGAGAGAAAAGAATTAGATTATGCTACCCAGGGGCACAGATGGAGGATATTACTGACAGAGCAGGAGATATAATAAATAGGGCTAGCAATGATACAGTTTTTGTTGTGCACGTAGGGGATAATGATGTAGGTTAGAGAAGCTAATTAATAAGTACAGGGGGTTGATAAAGGCATTTAAAGAAAAAGGCCAGAACTTAACTTTGTCAGGGATACTGCTAAGAATTAACTGTAGGGATGAAGTTATAAGAAGGTCACTAGGGTAAATGCTAGGCTTAAGATAGTGTGTAAGGATGAGCAGATTGGCTGGTGGAGCTTGTGGGATCAGTTCAGTGAAAGAAGGGAGAATTTGGACCGGGTGGTTTACATTTAAGTAAGATAGGGGCTGGCTTGTTTGCTAAGGCGATTAACTTAGCTGTAAGAGAAGTTTTAAACTAGGACTAGATAGTGGTGAGGGCCAGAATAAACTAAATGTAAAAAGAATAAGAGGCAGAGAATAGTTTAGTATAGGAAATGAGTATAGAAGTAGTTATAAGCGTAGGCTTAATTGTTACTATTGTAATGCTAGAAGTATAAGAAATAAAGTAGATGAATTTGGAGCACTGGTAGGAATGGATGATTTTGATATAATGGGAATAACTGAAGCATGGTTTAAACATAGATGATTTTGGTGACAGAAATTTCTGTGAAATACAGGGTTATAGGCTATTTAGTAGTAATAGAGTGCTAAAGAGGAGAGGAATGGCTTTACATGTAAAATGTGACTTACATCCTGTTGAAGTTGAGGATATCAAAGATAATAGCAAGGATTTAAGTTCGATGATGAAGAACCCACTTTGAGACTAATAATGCTTGGAGACGGCTTGAATGGGTAATGAAGAAAATCTTTAATATAAGT